CAGTCCTCGAGTCATTCATCTTCAAGTACTAGTGACCGAGTGTATTATAAGCATGGTTGATAGAATTCTCACCATTTTAAACAATTATACAGCAGTGTGCTGATGCCTGCACTCATTATTCAACAGTTAAAGCATGAACAGCCTAGCTCTGCCTTGCTGAGACAGCAGGAATAAATGATCCATGCAAGAAGTCTCACAGATGACAAATTAGTAACTGGAACATAAAAGACATCACATCTTTACCGTCTTCTAAGATCGATGCTGGTAAACCAGTCTGTCTTGAATACCTTGGTCACCAGAGAAGTCTGAATCCACAGTTCTCTGCCTTGTTGTCACAATCTACCCAGAAAGTTTATAAAAGTTTCTTTTCACTTCTTGATATCCACAAACCCATTCAAGGAAACCCCCTCTTTCTCTTTCGGAAACCAGAGCAAATATCTCTCCTAGTTCCCAGCTTCATATCCTAAAATGCTCTCGCAGAACTGCGCAAACAATTCCCAATACCAACAGCCTTTGTTGTCACACCAGAGTATTGAACATCTTACGAGAAACAATTAAACCTTCTCGCCATCCTTATCAAAGATTTTCAGAGCTGAAGCAAGAGCACGGAGTGTTATTGACCAATCAAGAGAGCCAAAAGTTGATTGTTCATCGAATGGGCCGACACAAAACTATGCATGTTACTGGGCCTTGAAAATCAATGATGGATCCCCTTTAAAACATCAATGGACTGTACACAAGAAAACATCTCAGATTAATTTAGCTTTATACATGGGACAAGGCCTTACAAATCAATAAAGGAGCCCAGCTAGTTTAAGCTTCATTAACGCACTGATTACAATTTCAGGACTATGGTCCCAAGCAAAACTTTATTCTATGCATGGGACAGGGCCTTGATTTTCAACAATAAGGCCCCTCCAAGAAATGACGCCATATTTACAGTCGAGATCCCACTGATATCACTTCCATCCATGGTACAGGGCTGTAATAATCAATGATGGGACCCAGTCCAAGCAGTGACACTGTGAATACATATAAGAACAGGTGAACAACCTACAAAAAAATCAATAGAAGGGGTTCAATAAGGCATAATGATATGAAATACATGTACAGGAGGGTATAGATAACAGAGGTATACACAGTCCCACTTCCTAAGTATGGTATCTTCTCTACAGAGTAACTTGGCTGTACCTTTATTATAACAACTGAAGAATGGCTACAGTAATTGCATTTAATTAAAGAATCAATTGCCTCATTTTTTATATCGATTTTCGTTAATTCCCAAAAATTGATTTATCTATTTGTTTCAAAGTATTAAATTTGATGTTCTTGCCTAAAATTAGTAAACATATTTCCAAAGAGCTTATGGCTATTACCCATATCCTTGGTCTCTGACATACAATGCTGATGACAAGGTTTTTCCATTATCTAAATAATTTATTATTTTATATACTTCAATTATACTAATAGCAAAACATTCTGCAATAACTATAAAGCAAAAACTATCATGTGGCACTGCACAGATATTACAAATTGAAAGCCCTGCGTTTGTGCAGAACACCTCCACATGTAAATAATGTGCTTTGACTTCAAACATTCCATCATCAGTTGTTCATTAATATCATCATTGTAACTATCATTATTTTCACTGTCAGCAATAAACGACAACTCAAACATCATAAGATGTTTAATGCGTGCAAAGCTAACTGATTAGAAAACTTGCTTTATTCACACATTTAATTAATCTGGGATGGTATGAAATCAATTCAGTTTCCAACAATATCTGTAATTCTGGTGAAAATTAAATTTGATATTCTATCACAATAGTATTAATTCCGTGATATGGCTTTCATGAGGTATTAAAATACACGAATACCAAAGGATGGTTGGTATGGATTTTTTTCTTTCACAGTAAACTGCCATTCCTCAAATTTCATTGTGCTTGTCAATATCCATCATCACGTAACTTTTTATTATGCCACAGCAGATGCTGTGAACCTAAGATCCACACGTACAATAGCTCACAAACACACACACGACATGCACAAACATGAAAACACTGCATAACACCTGGGTCCTTTGTTCAATCTCATACAAACATGGACATCTATTCGTGCTTTGTACTTATGTATAGAACTTTTATCTTGCTGACACATGGTGTAAGTAATTAATTTTTTCCCATAATTGTGTCGACTTTCAGTTTCAATTTCATGGTAAAATCAGGGGTGGATTGAGGCCATCTTCTGGGTCTTCTGAAAGATGGTCTGAATTTTTCAAGTTCACATTGACGGACATCTAATTTTTCTGTGGGAAGACAGTCAAAATTGAGAAAAAATCAAAAAAGTCAATTGGTAAGACTGTCAGAAAATATCCCGGAATCTGCCCCTGAAAAATAACGTCTCATATACACACAACATGGACGAACACAAGTTGTATCTAGCCTAGGCCTTCTGTTCACTCTCTACAGCCATTGAAGTGCAAGTCTAATACGCCTCTTTTCGGCAAGCTGTTTTTATATGATTATCTTAATTGTGCTTTACAATCATGTGTGTGTGTGTGTGTGTGTGTGTGTGTGTGTGTGTGTGTGTGTGTGTGTGTGTGTATCTACAACACCTAATAGACACATTCTGCATCATTTATTCGCTTTTGAATATTTGTGTCAACTTGTAAATTTCAACACTTATATCAGGACGTGATAGTGAAATAATATTATTGGGCGAAAAAGATGCCATCTTTCCATCAACTGTCAATGAACAGAGTTAACAGGCAATCTTAGAATTGATTCTAACAGATGTAGGTGTTAGGGTAATCCAATTTCTGCACACTTTAAATAGCAACTCATTATATACCATTTAACAATATTACCATTGGGACGTACTGGTGCTAGTCCTGATACTGGGACATTAGGGCCCCTTAGCAAAATATCAGGCCTGCTGTGAAACTGCGGCAGATTTACAACAAATTTGCTGCAATATAGCTGCATATTAGCAAATTTGCTGCAATATTGTTGCAAATTTTTCACTTTGTTTGTGGGGATAAACACTAGGCACGTCTGCATGGTTTACAACTTCTTCCACCTGTCAATTTGCTATGTACATGTATCTCCCCCCTTACTATAACTGCTAAATAGGACTGCAATATCTCTGTCCACTCTCTTCTGTTCATTTATCAATTTATAACCCTAAACAAAATGTGCTTATGCATTGCATTACTCCCCTGTCCTGCTGGCAATTGTCAAAATGGAAATCTCTCTCTCTCTCTCTCTCTCTCTCTCTCTCTCTCTCTCTCGACAGCCTTAAATCAAAGCCACTCTTATTGGACTATCAGTATTATTACAGCTAGCTCTTTGACTTGGCCAGAGTTGAAAATCAATGCCTTTTGATTATGGCTATTGATCAGGTGTGCAGTTACAACTAATGAAGGAGTATCTTGAGTGTGCACTTGTAATGAGGTAGGTCACGAGCCTCACAATAAGGTGTGTTCAGACAAAAGCATTGGCCAAACCTTTATGTATCTTTAACATGTCATCAAATATCTCACCAAAATAAACTTGAATACTGTAACTTTCTGTAGTCTTTTAGACAAGCAACACAGAAGAGTTACTTAATTTGATCAGCTCTGAGTATGACAGACTTTTCATTTAGTTTACTTAAACTTACATTAATATACATGAAAAGTTGTAAAAATACAGCGTAATCTGTCCAAATTCCACTATATTGGCTGTATGCAATTCGGACTCTAAGTGTCACAATTACAGGTGACATAAATGTAATCTTCTACTAAGCTTGTGTACATATTTCATATGTCATGGATTGATATGGCTGGCTTACATCCAGGCTAATGAGGTCTCCTGAGAGCATTAACTTATACAACAGCTTAGCCAGGTATCGAATCATGATTAAAGGGAGCCCAGTTCCCTGTAATGTCTTCAGTTAATTTGCATTTGGAAATGTCATCCAGTGAGACAGGTAAAGATCACACCTGGCGGCTTACACCACACAACCTTTCAATGCAGTTACTGAATAAAAACACACAAAAGTCATTGACACAACTTGCCTATCACCTGAATATTTTCTGCTCAGTTTTCCTCAGAAGAGGAGACATAAGAAAACTATAGAATTGAAAGGGATCCTTTAAAAAAATTATTAAAAAGTAAGTGTCTATGGTGCTCTTCAGGGGCGGATCCAGAGATATTTTCTGACAGTCTTCCAAATTATCTTTGTTAATCCGTCCTCCATTTTTGACCGTCTTCCGACAGAAAAACTTAGATACCCGTCAATGTGAACTTAAAAATCTGACCGTCTTCCAAAAGACCCAGAAGACGGCCTAAATCCGCCCCTGCTCTTTATGAGAGTCCAGGGGTCATTTCACCAAACCCAAATAACAGGATTTCTGGAAAATCTGAAATTTTCATCTCCAATCAAACAGTGAAACCTAATAAAAAATGAAAATAAAATATTTAATGAAAAATTATATTTTCACTGGTCTGACAAGCTAATAACTTTGATAAAAAATCACTACTTTCACTTGCTGGATCCTTTACCTACAAGTCCAAAATCACAAACCGACAGCAAGTGCCACAGGCTTTTAACAATAATAAATTTTTCAACGAGCAGCTAAAACTAACAGTTTTTACCACTTCAATATCCCCAATACATAATTAAATAGCTGATAACGTTTTCTGTTGTGGTCACTACCAAGTGGCTCATGATTCTGTGACAATAATGAAGTCATTGCGTCAGGTGAGAATACCCAACACATTCTAGCACATCCAGTACAGTTTGTCATAATATAATGAGTGGTTTCACTAAAATCACTTTAACTCTTATAAAACCACTTAAACATAAAATAAAGATGGGAGATTTTTCTTCTTTTCTAAATTTCTCTGTAAAACATAGATATAAATAGCATTACTCTCCTCATCCGAGAGTGGCGTAAGAGTCATCTGCAGTCCTCTTGATTGCCACCTCACTGTTTAAAACACCGGAGAAGGTTTGCAACTATTCCATGCTTGCCTTGGATGTGTAAGGGTTGCAGTTTGGTGTAAAGTTGACAAAAACAGTTCCACCACTTGCATATAAAAATTTCTGTTTAATACAGTTTTAAAATACTGCTAAATCTAACCTTTTTTTGTAGGTTGAAATTCTGTTCATCTGACCAACCCTCAAAGTAAAATGAAATTTAAAAAATAAAGGATAAGATATGCAACTCTCAACACATTCACTGAAATCATTCCCATGCTCTTACCTTCCTCCCCAGTTTGTGTAGGGCATCCATTTGTACTGTGGCGCCATCTTGTGATTGTTAGGTTCTGGAGCCATACTGTAGGTGGAGTTGCTGAAGCTGGTAGTCTCATCATCTGTTACCGAAAAACGTCCAGATCTCTCTTCTTCACCTGAAGTGTTATTTGATTTTATTTACAAAAAACATCTTTAAGGAATTCATTGCTAAATAATGAGAAAAGATTTTTTTGGGTAAATTAATCAGGTCTGTTGCAAACTCTTCCCACTAATGTTCAAGTAAGAATTTCATGATGCTTATGAAGTCCGTTTCAAATTTGCTACAAATTTCAGAAGCTTTTGCAAATTTGCTGAAACAGATTTTTCTTGCACGAACTCTTGCAAACCCCTTCAGACTGTTTTTTTTTTCTGAATAAGTGGTAAGATTTTAACTGAAAACCTGTATTTTTGTTAAGAGAGAGAGAGAGAGAGAAAGAGAGAGAGAATTATGCCCAATGCGTGGACCTAATGCACTGGACATCAGTCTAAGAATGTCTAACAGAAATGCCACGCACCCTCATCACAGTCATAAAATTCATCATCATCTGTGTCGTAATATCTTGCTGGTGACATGGAGCGCTGGAATGTGTGCTCTAGCTCGTGGTGCTCTGTCGCGAGTGCGTGCAGCGCCTCCTGCAGCACCCGCGTCTTCTCCATCTCTTGTTGTAGTTGAACTTTACGGAGCTGAAACGATAAAATAAAATAAAAACAAATGAGCAACATACAGCCTAATTCAAAGTTGCCAACTTGCACTTTTATGTGTACTTTAAGTATAATTGTATACTGGAGTTATCTATTGTTGATATGTGTTTGTTTCATGATATCAGGCCAGTAGCCAGGGGGGTTGGCAAGAACTGCCTTTTTTGTTGGGGAAAGGTCCATTCAGGGTAAAATTTAAGCTAGGTACTCAGAAATTGCATTGAAAAAGGTCCACTTTTTAAGAAAAAAAAACCTTTTTTAAATTGCTGGCTACGAGCCTGTGTTATTCGACTAGACATTGTTTAAAACAGACTGTTGTTGTTTGCACATGTAATTATATTGGCAGTAGATCTAAACATTTTGATTGCTGTCATGTTGACAACACTGCTAACTATGCAAATTATTTCAAATACTGCTTGTCCTTGAAAATGCTTAGACATTTCAGCACACAAACATTTAGCTTTTCACATAAGCAAGGCAAGCAAGGCCTTTTCAGCATTTCTCCAAATGAAAAAAGAAAACAAACAAACAAAAAAGAGCAATTATACAATGCAAAAACAAAAAGATTTGAAGTATTAGAACTGATTCTTACAACTTAAAATTGTAAATTTTAAAGCTTTTCCTAGAGCTTTCCTCCTTTACCTACAGCCTTGCTCATTCTGACATCTAATGATGGGGGAGGGGGAGAGACGCAATATTACATCACACATGTTTTGACAGCAGGAATGTTCCCCAGTTATTTGTCTAATATTATACCAGCTGTTTGTATTGAATTGGCATGCCCACATCAACTGGAGTGAAATCGGCTCTATATCTCACCAGGAATAACACTTCTCCCCTTTCTGAAAACAAATATCTCCCCAGCTTTTCTGAATTAGTGTTCCCTATTTGCTACAGTAGGTGAAGGCATGTAGCCAGCAATCTTAAAAGTGTGTGTGTGTGTGTGTGTATGTGTGTGTGTGTGGGGGGGGGGGGAGGGGAGGCTCTTTTTATGAAAAAATTACAGGTCCCATGTATATAATCTATATAATTAGCATTATAAAAAGCCATATGCACTGTAAGTAGGTTACCTTCGGTTCCTGTTATATAATATATTAATATTTGCTGACAGGCTGTATACATGCTGATTTAATCTTTAATGTGGCATATCGGTGTATATTCAACACTACTAGTAACTGGATTTAGTGAATTCATTTATAGCCTAAATAGTGTAATAATTTCTACTTGGCTTTCATTTCAATTTGTTCTACTAGCAAGGATGTACAAAAGAATTTAAGCTCTCAAGGGCTTTGCGAACCCTATGGAAGCTCACAATTTCAAGGAGGGGGGGGCAGTCCTCTTTTAAAATGGACCTTTTTATCCCCTTATTAATCACCTAAACTTAGAAATGATTTAAAACCTACGTTAAATTTTGATTCAGAGAGAGAGGGAGAGAGAGAGAGAGATTCTCCAGTCTTATTTAATAAGCCAGGTGAGTCCTTAATTACAGACACCAGAATATCACTGTCTGAGCAATGATTGTGATTATAATGGGAAAAACCCCATTTTAGCTCAAAAACATGAGAAACCTATCAAAACCTGTGGCATCACCTAAGTACAGTAACTGCAGAATACGACTTGCCACATGCCACTTAAAGCTTTGATTTAAGCTGCTGATAATACAAAGACTACCCTATCAAATACAACAAAAAATCACAGAAATTCTGAACACTCATCATCTCAGATTCTTCAAATTACCTTCAAATTGACAGAGCGTTGGTGTACTCCCGGTAGATCAATGTGATCAAGTCTTGGTCCTGTGTTGAGCCACTCAATGTCAGCCATTTTTACCTAAACCTTTATTCTCTGTCCTGGTAACAGGTGTTCTTTACCATCTGGCAGGCTGTATATATGTATGCTCAGGTGAATTATGTATTCTCTTCAGGCTAAGCCATGGAAATTCAGCATTCCACTCTGATTGTGAGTTTATTTGTTTATTTGTTTGTGGCCTCTTTTTTGGTTCACCATGGAGGACAATTTTAGAGATTTGTTCATTTAATTTATTTAATTTATTTATTTTATTTATTATTATTATTTATTTTATTTATTTTTTTTTTTT